AAGTAATACACATAACACTGCTCTCTTTCTTTGTCCTGTATTACATTAGGTCTTTGACCCTCTGCGTTTCCTACCAGAGAACATTGCCAAGAGATCTCCTCATGCTTTTGTGCCCTTCTCAGCTGGGCCAAGGTTTGTCCTCACCGGAAACTATATCACTGTATAGAGACTGCTTGCAGTAGGCTCAAGTATGTGAATGTGTAACTTAGCACTGACCCCATTTACATCAACACAATAAAAACTGGCTTTATAATGGGCTAAAGCAAGTAGGGGAAAGGGTGAACTCACTGTAATCTAAGATTGATCCCATTTAAAATACAAGCACCTTTGGCCCTGAATGTTAAAAAATAACCTACTATACTCATCCCTCCTATTCGTTTTCGTCATGTCCTAATCTCAGAAGGATCAAATTATTTTCAACATTTTTCAATTCTTTTGAATATATCCTTGTATATTTCTTACATTTAATATTTTCCTTGCTCAGAAACTGCATCGGTCAGAACTTTGCTATGAATGAGATGAAAGTGGTGACAGCTCTGACACTGAAGCGATACCAGCTCATAGCGGAGCCCACTATGAAACCCAAGATCATCCCCCGACTGGTTCTCCGCTCACTCAATGGCATCCACATCAAGATCAAACCTTTAGACGCAGAGAGCTAAAGTGCACTAACTGCAAGAAATGCTGAAAATTACTGTATTTAGAAAGTAAATACTTTATGTTGATTTGAAATACTTCTACTATATAACTGAGCTTTTACATATCATTTAATGAACGCTGTTGTGTAGTTTATGTTGTAGGAGAAATTACTTGTTGAAAAAAAATCTGCTTTTTATACTAAGACACTAAAGGAGAAGCTTGTGCACTTTGTCAGAAAGTAATAGAATTTGTTTTGGGGGGTTTTACGATAGTACATAACAGATTTGTAGTAAATGGCATTGCACTGACATTATTTGCAGTGTAAAGCTGTAGATAAAATTTTAGTAAATACAACTTCTGTCTTAGTTTTACTCTCCATCATTTAATATTTCTATTTTGAGATAGAGGAAGAGGACTGGTGTTGTGCTGTAAATTAAATTAGCATTCTTTTTCCAACAAAACATAATAACAAAAATATATTTTAGTAGTCAGGATCAACCCAATCAAAAACGTTTAATTGAGCTCATATTTCCATATTGCTTCTATTGTTTAAAAGAGAGCTCTCTTTGACCTGTAATGAAGATCATTTATCTATGTTTGTGCATTTATATGAAGTCTTATCAAGTCAGCATGAAAGCAATTCATAGATATATGATCAAAATCTATCTCTGGAATATAACCTTATTTTACAGAGGCAGACTGTAAAGTTGATGCTTAAAAATGTGGACAATGTATCAAATTACTTGCATTGCATTTAGAGTCTTTCCTCATATATACAGCTTATTGTAAAGCTTAAATATCAGTTTATATCAAGGCAAATTCACACTGGAGTGTTGTTTATGGTTAATTAAACATAAGAAAAATGACAAAACCTTTACCTCTGACTGATATCTTTGAGTCCACTTGTCCTTTAAGAGGGGAAGGTTACCAGAATTCAATACAAAGTTGTTCTGAGTGGTCATATTAATCCAATGATGAGACATTTCTATCTTCTTGTGGGCAGGGCTTTCACTCACAGGGCACGGGGGGCCACTGAATAGTTTGACTAAAAAAATGATCTTGGGTAAATGGTACGGCCTTTGTTGTCAGCATATCTCTGACACCATCTACTACAGAGCTTTTATTGTGTTCACAATTGTGTTACTGTATTTTTACAGTGCAGACAACCAAGATGACATAATTAGATAGCAAATGCAATTAAACAACATGTTTAAAGATCAGTTAACACTGAAGCCTTGTTCAAGCCCCCCCCTCCATGACCTCGTCAACATCCAACCTGGAAAAAATACACAAAATAACATTCAGTTGCCTCAACGTGTAAACAAACCTAGAGAAGAGACACGAAAAAAGGACAGCATAAATACAGAGGAGAGAGGGAGATAAGAGAAGCTGGAGGACAAAGCTCCAGATCCGAACATCAGTAACTGACAGCCAAGGAGGAGAGAGATGTCCCAGGATGGTTGATGATCCGGAACAGAGAGACCTGAGAGGAAGAGAAGAGGGAGCATCAAAGCAGTTGAATAAAAACAAAGGTTATTCCAAATTTAACACCACAGTTTTTAGCTGCCAAGAGTTAATGTACACTGGTCTGTGTGCTGCATATGCTGTCAAAATCACGCTGATATCCAGCAGGTAAGATAAGACATTTGCAGCTTTAGTGAGTGCAGTTTCATCGGAGTGACAGGCCTTGGAAGCAGACTGGGGGGAAAAAACGTTGAAAATGATTAATGTTTCCTGTGAGGGCGCACACACTACCAGTCAAAAGTTTGGACACACCTTCTCATTTCATAGTTTTTATTTATTTTCATGACTTTTTAGATTCTCACCAAAGGCATCAAAACTATGAATAGTCACTGTTTGCTTTGATTACTTTGCAGACTCTTGGCATTCACTCAGTGAGCTTCATGAGGTCATCTCCTGAAATGGTTTTCTAGCAGTCTTGAAGGACTTCCCAGAGATGCTGAGCACTTGTTGGCCTTCTTCCTTCACTCTGTGGTCCATCTCATCCCAAACTATCTCCATTGGGTTTATGTCAGGTGACTGTAGAGGCCATCTGGCGCAGCACTCCATCACTCTCCTTTTTGGCCAAATAGCCCTCACACATCCTGGAGGTGTGTTTGGGGTCATTGTCCTGTAGAAAAATAAATGATGGTCCAGCTAAACTAGAACAGGATGGCATGTCGCTGCAGGATGCTGTGTTAGCTACGCTGGTTCAGTGTTCCTTTAATTTTGAATAAATTTCCAAAAGTGTCACCAGCAAAGCATCCTGTACACCATCACACCTCCTCGATGCTTCAAGGTGGGAACCATGTATGTAGAGACCATCCGTTCACTTTTTCTGTGTCGCACAAAGACACGGCACAGCACAGATTTAGACTGGTTTAATGTCCATTCCTTGTGTCCCTTGGCCCCCCAAAAATCTCTTCTGCTTGTTGCTTTTCCTTAGCTGTGGTTTCTTAGCAGCTATTTGACCATAAAGGCCTGATTCACACAGTCTCCTCTTCTGCACAACATAATTGATGGTCCCAACCCCATTAAGAAGACAAGAAATTTCACAAATGAACCTTGACCAATCACACCTGTAAAGTGAAACCATGTCAGGTTACTACATCATGGAGCTCATTGAGAGAATACCAAGGATTTGCAGCACTGTTAACAAAGAAAAGGGAGGCTATTCTAAAATATAAAACCTATTTAGAGTTTTTTTATCAACTTTTTTTTCTTTGCTACATAATTACATACATCTTGCTTCATATATTTGATGTCTTCAGTATGTATCTACAATGCAGAAAGTTGTAAAAATAAAGAAAAAACATTAAATGAGAAGGGTTGTCCAAACTTTTGCCTGGTAGTGCATATTACCAACACATTCAAAAAGACATGACTGGTCAGTAATCAGTAACCAATAACAGAGACTGCTTAAGTCAAAGATACTGTAAACCACAACAGTTTCAAAGTTAGGAGGGAGTAGTTTCACATTTAATCAATTACTGAATGCAGGTCAGAAATTGCAAATTAATAACTAAATGGGAGCTTCAGGAGATTTTTAAAAGGTTAATTTGGCACTACCATCTGATAAGTTTTTAAGCAAGCACCTATAAGACAACATGATGAAGCCAGAGAATTAACCTGTTCTAGCAACGAGCGGAGCACACTTATCATTCAGTACAAGTGAAAAGGTTTCTGTTTTCATTTACACCTTTTTTAAGTCTCCTGCAGCCTTGTTAGACAGCATGTGTACATGCTTCTGCAAACCAGGAACCCGGTTTATCATCTCGCTTCAGGCAGGCAGAGATAGAAGTGAATATGTGGGGCGAGACCGCTGCACTTAAGTCCCGACTTCAGTTTCACTGCCTATCTCTGCTGTTAGACAGGCCAGGTGCTGGAGCAATTTCACAACAAGAGTCGTTAAAGCGTGTGCAGAAGTGTCATAAAGACACGCTATAATCCCCTTCTGCAATGTGCAGGTTCATGCACAACTGGGTGAAAGTATCAAGAAGGGCCAGAAAGGCTCATGAGTCAAAAGTACTCTTTTATTTACAGTCATATTACAAAATCCACACACCCACAAGGACAAAAAGTCACCAGTACAGGTTGTATAAAAATGAAATGACGTCCTCTTTCTTTTGATCTCAGATTGCCAACCTTTCTCTGATTTACGATCCTAATAACTGATCACTTGAATTTCCT